CTGGTCTTGAACTCCTGACCTCATGATCCACCCGCCTTGGCCTCCCAAAGTGCTGGGATTACAGGCGTGAGCCACCGCGTCTGGTCCCCCCTTTTTTTTTAAGTAGAGACAGGGTTTAGTCATGTTGCCCAGGCTGGTTTTGAACTCCTGATGACTGCCTCAGTTTCCTGAAGTGCTGAGATTACAGGCATTAGCCAATGTGCCCAGCCTACATTAATTCTTTTACAGACATACATTTTCCCACCAATTCTTTTTTTTCCTCCTCTTTAAGAAGTGGGCTTGCCTGGACGCGGTGGCTCCCACCGGTAATCCCAGCACTTTGGGAGGCTGAGGTGGGTGGGTCACCTGAGGTCAGGAGTTCGAGACCAGTCTGGCTAACATGGCAAAACCCCATCTCTACTAAAAATACAAAAATTAACCAGCTGTGGTGTGGCGGGGTACGCCTGTCATCCCAGCTACTTGGGAGGCTGAGACAGGGAGAATCGTTGAACCTGGGAGGCGGAGGTTGCCGTGAGCCGAGATCATGCCATTGCACTGCAGCCTGCGTGACAGAGCGAGATTCAGTCTCTCAAAAAAAAAAAAAAAAAAAAAAATCATTTAGATGATAGATTTTATGTTATGTTAATGTTACCACAATTAAAAATTGTTTTAGGGCCAGGCGTGGTGGCTCACACCTGTAATCCCAGCACTTTGGGAGGCTGAGGCAGGTGGATCACGAGGTCAGGGGTTCAAGACCAGCCTGGCCAACATAGTGAAACCCTGTCTCTACTAAAAATATAAAAATTAGCCGGGCATGGTGGTAGGCGCCTGCAGTCCCAGCTACTTGGGAGGCTGAGGCAAGAGAATTGCTTGAACCCGGGAGGCAGAGGTTGCAGTAAGCTGAGATTTCACCACTGCACCCCAGCCTCGGCAACAGAGTGAGACTCCGTTTAAAAAAAAAAAAAAAAAAGTTTTAATGCAGAAGAAAACTGTAAAGAGAAAGAATAATGAGAGACACATTTAGAAAACAGAGAATGGAGATACTTCATTGGCTGGGTGCAGTGGCTCAGCTCTATAATCCCAGCACTTTAGGAAACCAAGGCAAGAGGGTTGCTTGAGCCCAGGAATTTGAGACCAGCCTGGGCAACATAGTGAGACCCCCCCTACCACATCACTACAAAAAATAATTAACTGAGGTAGTAATGTGTGCCTGTAGTCCCATCTCTACTAAACAAACAAACAAACAAAAAATACAAAAATTAGCTGTGTGTGGTGGCACGTGCCTGTAGTCCCAGCTACTCCAGAGGCTGAGGCAGGAGAATTGCTTGAACCCAGGAGGTGGAGGTTGCAGTGAACCGAGATTGCGCCACTGCACTCCAGGCTGGGAGACAGAGTGAGACTCTGTCTCCAAAAAAATAAAAATAAAATAATAAAATAAATAAAAAATACAAATATAAAAAAGTTATCCATGTGTGGTGGCTGTGCCTGTAGTCCCAGCTTCTCTGGGGCTGAAGTGGGAAGAACATTTGGGCCCAGGAGGCAGGTGCAGTGAGCTCTGTTCATACCACTGCACTCCAGCTTGGGTGACAGGGGAAAACCCATCTAAAAGAAAAAAAAAAAAAAAAAAGCTACATGTAGCACCCTGGACAGAGAAGTGTTTGAGCCCCATGGTCCAGATAGGACTGTGGGGTCAGTGGCATATCAAATGACAGGCTCCAAAATCATGCCTTAGGTCTATAAAGATTTTTGTTGACTCTCTTCATACCAGTCAATCCAGTTTATCCTAATTATTTTTATTATTTTCTCAGAGACAGGTCTTGCTCTGTTGCTCAGGCTGGAGTACAGTGGCATGATCATAGTTCACTACAGCCTCCACCTCCTGGGTTCAAGCAATCCTCCCACCTCAGCCTCCTGAGTAGCTAGGACTATAGGCGTGCCACTATGCCTGGCTAATTTTAAAAAATCTGTAGAGACAAGGTTTCACTATGTTGCTCAGGGTGATCTTGAACTCCTGGGCTCAAGTGATCCTCCAGACTCAGCCTCCCAAAGTGCAGAGATTATGGGTGTGAGCTACAGCATCTGGCTAATTAAAAACAAATTATTTTTTGTAGACATGGGGGTCTTGCTGTGTTGCCCCATGGTGGTCTCAAGCTCTTGGCCTCAAGAAGTCTTCCAGCCTAGGCCTCAAAATGCAACCTAGTTTATCTTTACAACATCCCATGCGATAAATATTAGGTCTATTTTGCTGATAGGGAAACTTAGGCTTTAAAAGGACCCTACATTGCTGGGAACCCCCTGCAAAACTCCCAACTCACTGAACATTGTTCTAGGCAGGGTACTTTCTACTGTCCAGAGTGGCCTGAAATGCAAGCGGACATCAGGGCAGCTCCTTACACAGCTTCTGACTCAGGCCTGGCCTGAGCCCCGGCAGTCAAAACAAAGAGGGTGGTGCTTCCCAGGCCAGCTCTGCTCAGGTGAAGGCTGGTGTCTGATCATCCAGTGACACACAGAACATTTAGATGCATGTCCCCTTAGCCCTGGCAGCCTTTGCACATGTGACAAGGTTGCAACTTTGTGGGGCTGGAGTTGCAGTCAGACAGTCAGTCGTGGCTTTACCACGAGCCAGCTGTGTGACTCAGAGGTAACCTCCCAGAGCTGTAGGTTTCTCACTTATAAAACTGGATGGCTGGCCAGGTGCGGTGGCTCACGCCTGTAATCCCAGCACTTTGGGAGGCTGAGGCAGGCGGATCACTTGAGGTCAGGAGTTCAAGACCAATGTGGCCAACATGGTGAAACCCCATCTCTACTAAAAATACAAAAATTAGGCAGGTGAGGTGGCGTAAGCCTGTAATCCCAGCTACTTGGGAGGCAGAGGCAGGAGAATAGCTTAAACCCGGGAGGCAGAAGTTGCAGTGAGCTGGAATCATGCCACTGCACTCCAGCCTGGGGGACAGAGCAAGACTCCATCTCAAAAATAAATAAATAAAACCGGATGGTATGTGGCATTGCACCTTAGATCCAAGGGTTGCAGGGAGGGTCCAGTGAGATTAGAACTATGAGTTGACTTGGCCGATATGTGAGGAAGGCTGGCTTGTGCAATCCACCATGAAGCCATGGAGAATTCCAGGCCCTCTGCTGAAAACTGGCCAGTTATTGGTTTTTTTTTTTTAATTAAAGATATTTATTTATTTATTTATTTAGAGCAGGGTCTCTCTGTGTTGTCCAGGCTGGAGTGCAGTGGCACAATCTCAGCTCACTACAACCTCTGCCTCCCGGGTTCCAGCAACCCTCCTGCCTCAGCCTTTCAAGAAGCTGGGATTATGAGCTGGGATTATGTGTGCCACCACGCCCAACTAATTTTTCATTTTTAGTAGAGATGGAGGTTCACTGTGTTGGCTAGGCTGCTCTCGAACTCCTGACCTCAAGGGATCCGCCCACTTTGGCCTTCCAGAGTGCTGGGATTACAGGAATGAGCCACCTTGCCTGGCCCAGTTACTGATTTTGTTTATAGCTTGTTTATTGCAGGTGAGGATGTAAGGTGTTTGCCAGAAAAGCTGAAGAACTTCAACATCAAAACCAATTAACTCCTTTGTTTACTCAACAAATGTATATTAGAATGGCAACTAGCTGGCAGGTACTGAAGATATAGGAAACAGGTCTGGTAAGTATAGGATCTGCCGCAAGGTCAAACATGAAAAGCAAGAACCAAGCTGGGTGCAGTGGCTCATGCCTGTAATTCCAGCACTCTGGGAGGATCGACTTAACCCTAGGAGGTCGAGGCTGCAATGAGGTATGACTGCACCACTGCACTTCAGCCTGGGTGATATAGGAAGACACTGTCTCAAAAAAAAAAAAAAAAAAAAAAAAAAAAATCCTGTCAAGAATCTGATGAACAGGTATTTTATTTTTATTTATTTATTTTTGAGAGTAAGTCTCGCTCTTCTCCCCGAGGCTGGAGTGCAGTGGCGCGATCTCGGCTCACTGCAACCGCCGCCTCCTGGGTTCAAGCCATTCTCCTGCCTCAGCCTCCTGAGTAGCTGGGATTACAGGCGGTTGCCACCACACCCGGCTAATTTTTGTATTTTTAGTAGAGACGGGTTTCACCATGTCGGCCAGGCTAGTCTTGAACTCCTTACCTCAGGTGATCCGCCTGTCTTGGCCTCCCAAAGTGCTGGGATTACAGGCATGAGCCACCGTGCCCAGCCAACGAACAGTTATTTTAAAATATTTGAGCAAAGAATAAAAAAGGGCTGGGTGCAGTGGCTCACACCTGTAATCCCAACACTTTGGCAGGCCAAGGCGGGTGGATCACTTGAGGTCAGGAGCTCGAGACCAGCCTGGGTAACATAGCGAAACGCTGTCTTTACTAAAAATATAAAAATCAGCTGGGCGTGGTGGTGCACACCTGTAGTCCCAGCTACTCAGGAGGCTCAGGTGGGAGGATCACTTGAGCCTGGTAGTTTGAGGCTGCAGCGAGGTATGGTTGTGCCACTGCACTCCAACCTGGGCAACTGGAGTGAGACCCTGTCTCAAAAAAAAAAAAAAAAAAAAAGGCCGGGCGCGGTGGCTCAAGCCTGTAATCCCAGCACTTTGGGAGGCCGAGACGGGTGGATCACGAGGTCAGGAGATCGAATTATTTTATTTTATTATTTTAATTTTAATATTTATTTTGAGACGAGTCTCGCTCAGTCGCCCAGGCTGGAGTGCAATGGCGGGATCTCGGCTCACTGCAACCTCTGCCTGTCGGGTTCAAGAGATTCTCATGCCTCAGCCTACCCAGTAGCTGGGATTGCAGGTGCCAGCCATCATGCCCAGCTAATTTTTGTATTTTTAGTAGAGACCGGGTTTCACCATCTTGGCTAGGCTGGTCTCGAACTCCTGACCTCGTGATTCGCCCACCTGGGCCTCCCAAAGTGCTGGGATTACAGGCGTGAGCCACCATGCTCGGCCATGTTATTATTATTTTAAACAGTAAGTTTCTCCTAGGGCTGTTTTATGGATGGCTCTTCCTGAGGATATCAAAGCCGCATTTTCCCCAGGACAGAATGGGATGAGGGCATGGCAGGGAAGAGAAGAGCTTAGCCTGGGAATCTGACTGGGTAGGGGATGGGAGAACGAAAAGGGGAAAAGCAAAAACAAAACTCTAGAGAAACAGGTCCTGGGGACTCCTTGGCGCTCGCTCTCACTGTGTGGTCCCAGCCAGTTCACTGGAGAACCGGAGTCTCGTGGCTGCTTTGGCTGAAGGTCAGGGGATCATCTTTCTCCGGCTCCCTTTTGCAAAGGGTAGGGAAAGGAAGCGATGGCGGCCTTGGCGCCCGCCCCGCGCCCAGGGACACAGACGGGAATCCCTCGAGACCCTCAGCGGGGACCGCCGGGGGGGTCCTGCGTTCTGCAGCTTGGCAACCGCCTCCTCCGTGTTCTGCAGCTCGGGGCAGCGGCGGGGGGTGCGTCCTGCGGCAGCTGCAGGGCTCCGTCCCGCCCGCTGTCCCCGCGACTCCGTACTGCTGTCGCGGGCGGAGTGGACTCGGGGAGGGCCCAGCCTCCGTGCTCCGCCCCTGGCCCGGCAGGACCCGGCTCGGCGCGCCCTCGGCAGAAAGCCCTCCTCCCCGGCCAAGGTAGAGGAAGTTGGGCTCCCGCCTGGCTGGGAGGCGGGAGGGAGCCCGCTCCTGTTGTTTTCCGCCGGCGGGAGTGGGCAGGCAGGCGCAGGGGGCGGGGTGCGCCCTCCCTCCGCGGCCAGGGCGCTCGGGAGCCGGGACCCGAGCCTGCAGCCGAGCGCCGCTCCCGGCCCCGGACACCCGGCTCAGCCAAGCATCCTTCCTGGGGGCCGAGAAAGTGGGGCTACTCTGCCGTTCCGAGGACCTGAGAGGAGCCCTTGGTCCCCCGGGCCCCGGTGCCCTGGGGCGCACACGTCCAGCCCAGCCTGAGCCTGCATTTCCTGAGCCGGGATCTGGGGCGAGATGGCCGCAGGCGGCGGTGCGCCCGAGCCCCGCGTCCTCGTCTGCCTCGGGGCGCTCCTGGCCGGCTGGGTCGCCGTAGGTAAGGGGCTGCGATCTGGAGGGAAAAGTTGAGTTTTCCCAGTCAGCGGTGGGGAGGGGACAGCGAGGGACCAAATTCCCTCCGACTCTGCTTGGATCCGTGGTGGCCGCAGCCTAGAAGCCGCCTTGGTTTCCTGCTTGCAGCTCGGCGGTCTTTGCAGGAAGGAATTTTCCCGGGCGCCCGGTGCGGGGCGAGATACCCGTGGCCTCCTGGGGTGGGCAGCCGGTGAGGCTGCAGAGGACCCGAGCCGAGGTGCAGGGGAAAATAAAGAGGCACGTGTGCCGGGAAAGTGATTTTTTTTTTTTTTAAGCGTCGGATGTAAATTCGCTTTCTGGTTTTATTAATACCTGATACGCTGGTGCTCAAACTCGAGACTCCCACTTTATTTTTCTCCTCCCTCTGCCCAAGGTTGAACTCGCCTTACACCTGTAACCGGTGGACTTCCCTACACACCTTTGCAAGTCTTCCTGTGCTGACCAGCGCCTTCAAAGCGGGGTCTTCCGCCTTTACTTTTGGAAAAGCTTTTTATTTTGAAATAGTTGGCATACTTACAAAAGACTTCCCCTCACACTTGACATGATTGACAAAAGGTCTGAAATGCTTCATCTATGGTCTGCTTTGCTACGAAAAAAGAATTGGGGGGTGCTTACAAAAATATGTAGAATGTAAAAAGATTGAAATACACATATATATATGAATTTAATTCACCAGCATGCCTACTGTGCGTGCCTACTGTGCGCTGGGAGTGTGACAAGCTGGGAGGTAGCTGGGGTGCAGGGAGAGGAGGTGGAGCCAGGAGGTGGTGAAGTTTGCCAGGATGCAGGCAGAGCCCTACTTTTTGTGTTCCCGGGTCTGCTCTACCCAACTGGTCTCCTCTTGCACGTTTCTGGAGATGGGTTGTAAATTATGATGGAGCTTCCTAGCAGCAAGTACCAAAAGTTCCTAATTGTTAGGCTCCTACAATTTTATTTTGCTTTTTTTTTTTTTTAAACCAACCGTTTAAAAACAATAACATCTCTAGGTTTCCAGTTTATCTGGAAAAATCTGAAGGTCTGGCAACACGGGGCCTGCTTTCCCAGTTGGAACTGGGCAGTGGTCATCCTTTTATCTAGGGCACGTGAGCCCAAATTTGTTCCACCTCTCCCTGTTGTAATATTTGCCCCCCTACCTTCAGTCATGGGTGTTACCTGCTGGCCCTCCAGGCATTTGGCTGAGTAATCACTGTGCTGGGGTGTGTGTGGCAGGGGAGAAGGACAGTTCCCAGTTGGTCGTCTCTGAAAGGTGGTCGTCAAGTATTCCCATCTCCCCAGCTGTTGGCACTGTTTCCTGCAAGATGAACACCAGGAACCTGGGAAGACAGAAGAACCCTGGGATGAAGTCATCCTGCTGGAATGACCTGGCATTCAGGCTGACTGCCGCCCGCCCCATAGGGAACCTATCTCCACTGCTATGGCCAGCTATTTTTTTCGAGCCAGGCTCTCGCTCTGTTGCCCAGGCTGGAGTGCAGTGGCGCAATCACTGCACTGATCCTCCCACCTCAGCCTACAAGTAGCTGGGACTACAGGCATGTGCCACCACGCCTAGCTAATTTCTAAAATTTTTTTGTAGAGATAGGGTCTCTACAATCGCTTGAGCCCAGGCTGGTCTTAAGCTCCTGGACTCAGGCGATTCTCCTGTCTCGGCCTCCCAAAGTGTTAGGATTACGGATGTGAGCCACTGTGTTGGGCCTTTGCCCAGCTATTTTGATGCCCAGACCTGCTTCACCTTTGTGTATGGTGCCAGAGCACTTCCTGAGCTTGGTGTATTTTTGTTGTGTGTTTGTTTTTTAAGTTGGGAGTTGTTTGGGGGGGGGCGGATATTGTCTTTCTCCTGACATTCAATGCCAGACAACTTATATGCATCCACTAGCTACCTTGGATTGTAAATCCTAGGTTATTCTTGGGAAAAGTTGCTTAAAAAAATAAATAAATGTTTGGGTATAACTCTTACTCTGTGAATAATAATACATGGGCAGCATCAGGGAGTTTATATTACTCCCTCTTCTGTTCCCTATTATGCATTTAAGGTTAGGGGCAAGAAGGACCCTCTGGATACCATATGAATGATCTCTAAAATTGTTACTATATTTTATCATTGCATCCTGTCTGGAGACCAGAGTAAAGTGACCTGAGTGACAATCCCACATCTCCCAGTGATTTGCTTGGGACTTTAAGTGAATAATTTTATCTTCCTAAATCTCAATTTTCCCAGTAGTAAAGTGAGGAGGTATAGGATTGCCAGGCAAGAACTACCCCTTCCATATCTATGTCAGACATCACTAATCGATGACTGTGTTCTTTTCCACTGAGCCAGGACTCAAACTCATCTTCAACCCAGCCCATAGGGCAGTCACAGATCTGGACTAGATGATCTCCAAAGGCACCTTCAGATACAGTGGTTTAAAAAAGAATGGAGTAAGCCAAGCCAGGAGAAGTGAAATGCCTTCAAATGGTTTCTTTTGTGATCATGTGATTCTATGCGTTGGAGGAGAAGATAATGTTAGCTGAAGTTCCAATACTAAAGTTTCACCAGGGCTTTTTTCCAAGCCACTGTTCCTGTAGTTCCTTGCCAAGGAGTTAGGCAAGGGGCAGGTCTGCAGGTCGCATGTTGCATCTGTAACTCTAAAGTTCATCTTCCTTTCTATCGTGGGGGTTGCCACTGGAGAATTTGGATTCTCAGTCCTAATAATTTAAAAAGAATTCTTGGCCGGGCGCGGTGACTCCTGCCTATAATCCCAGCACTTTGGGAGGCCGAAGCAGGCAGATTACCTGAGGTCAGGAGTTCAAGACCGGCCTGGCCAACATGGTGAAACCCATCTCTACTAATTCAAAAAATTAGTGGGGCATGATGGCGGGTGCCTGTAATCCCAGCTACTCAGGAGACTGAGGCGGGTGAATTGCTTGAACCCAAAAGACAGAGGTTGCAGTAAGCCAAGATTGAGCCATTGCACTCCAGCCTGGGCAACAGAGTGAGACTTCATCTCAAAAAATAAATGAAGACATAAGAAGAATTCTTACCTGCTCTTTTTTTTTTTTTTTTGAGACAGAGTCTTGTTCTGTTACCCAGGCTGGAGTGCAGTGGGGTGATCTTGGCTCACTACAACCTCTGCCTCCCCGGTACAAGTGATTCTCCTGCCTCAGCCTCCCGAGTAGGTGGGATTACAGGCATGTGCCACCACGCCTGGCTAATTTTTTGTATTTTTAGTAGAAACTGGGTTTCACCATGTTAGCCAGGCTGGTCTCGAGCTCCTGACCTCAGGTGATCTGCCACCTCGGCCTCCCAAAGTGCTGGGATTATAGGCGGGAGCCACCGCACTTGGCCATTCAGCTAATATTTGTGTTTTTAGTAGCGACGAGGTTTCACCATGTTGGCCAGGCCGGTCTCGAACTCCTGACCTCAAATGATCCACCTGCCTCGGCCTCCCAAAGCGCTGGGATTACAGGTGTGAGCCATTGCCCCCGGCCCTCACCTGCTTTTTAAAGTGATTGTTCAGAAGCATTTCTTGCTGTTTCGGAATCTCTATCATTAGATGACATTCTCCACCTTTCAGCAAGTGGCTTAGTTTTTAAAATTTGTTTTTTTTCCTCCATCCTGACTTGGCTCAAAAGTCTTTTGGGAATGGTGTGGCCAAAATGGTGAGAGAATCAGAACTTCTTGGGGTCCAGGCTGGCTTCAGATCTCTCAGAGGGAGCCCTTCTAACCAGACAAGAGGCCAAATACAGATAATGATTACTCTTTCACTTAAACGGGAAGGATTGCCAGGGGCAGTGACAGTTTATTTTTTCTATAACAGCTGTATTCAGATACAATTTACATGCCACAAAATTCACCCTTTTAAAGTGTACGACTCAGGAGATTTTAGTGTATTCCAAGGTTACATGGCCATCACCACTAATTCATCATTTTTATCACCCCAACAGGTTCTGCCCATCTTCCTATTCCTGCAGCCTCTTTGTATTTGGGTCTTGATTGTGGAGGGGGCTGGACAACTGTGAAACTTCTCAGCAAAATGGGTTGTATTTGCTTCTTGTTACCTAGTGACAGTCTAATGCCCGTTAGCACCTGTCAGTCTTTTTTATGAGACAGGGTCGGCTGGATGCGGTGGCTCACGCCTGTAATCCCAGCACTTTGGGAGCCCGAAGTTGGTCCGAGTGGAATGCTTGAGTTCAGGAGTTCAAGACCAGCCTGGGCAACATAGTGAGACCCCCCCCCCCCCCCCCCCCGCCCCATCTCTAAAAAAGAAAAAAAAAAGTATTTACATTAAACAAACAAAAAAAGAGACAGGGTATCTCTCTGTCACAATCGTGGCTCACTGCAGCTTCAGTCTCCTGGATTCAAGTGATCCTCCCACCTCAGCCTCCCAAAGCCCTGAGCTTATAGGCCTGAGCCACCACACCCGGACACCTGTCACTCTTGAGTGGTCATCAGAATCACCTGGAGGGCTTGTTAAACCACAGATGCTGGACTAGGTGTAGTGGATCACTCCTGTAATCCCAGCACTTTGGGAGGCTGAGGTGGGAGGATTGCTTGAAGTCAGGAGTTCAAGACTGTCCAGGACAACAGAGTGAGACCCACCCCACCCCCCATCTCTTTAAAAAAAAAAAAAATTGCTGATTTGTTCAAAATAAACAAGTAAATAGAACAAAAAGGGCTGCTGCTCTCCCACAGTTTCTGATTTGGGTGTTTTGGGGTGAGGTTTGATAATTTGTGTTTCTAACACTCTGCGGCCGCTGATCTGGGCTTTTGAACATGTTCCGTTTGCCTGGGAACCCATCCTCACCTTTCCTTGGCTGATTCTACTTGTCCATCAGATCTCAGTTTGGCTTCCTGGGGAAAGTGGTTCCTGACATTTGCCCTAGTTGGACTTAGGAGCCCTTTCTCTGAGGCCTTATCTTGGTATTTATCACACTGCATTGTAATTGCCAGTTTATTGTCTCTTTTCTTCACTAGACTGTGAACTCTTGGAGGTTTCTGTGTGTTGTGTCCACCATGGGGTTCCCAGTGCCTTGCCCAGTGTGGGCACACAGTCCCTACTGCCAGCCCATTTTTGCGTGGAGCTTCTGAGAGAACTTGAACTCTAGGGCCGTTTGAGATGGGGGGAGAGGGAGAGGCAGAGAGAGCAGCAGGACAGTGGAAGCAAAGCCAAAGCCCTCTTCTTTCTACCCCTTCTGGGTTTCTAGGCAAATAAAGCCACTTGGGTTCTCTATGAATTATTTATCACCACAGGCCGGGCGCGGTGGCTCAAGCCTGTAATCCCAGCACTTTGGGAGGCCGAGACGGGCGGATCACGAGGTCAGGAGATCGAGACCATCCTGGCTAACACGGTGAAACCCCGTCTCTACTAAAAAAATACAAAAGACTAGCCGGGTGAGGTGGCGGCGACTGTAGTCCCAGCTGCTTGGGAGGCTGAGGCAGGAGAATGGCGTGAACCCGGGAGGCGGAGCTTGCAGTGAGCTGAGATCCGGCCACTGCACTCCAGCCTGGGCGACGGAGCGAGACTCTGTCTCAAAAAAAAAAAAAAAAAGAAACAATCCCTAAAATGACACTAGTGCTTATTACCCACAGGCCTGGGTGGTTGGTTTGGTGGCTCTGCTGATCCGCCTGGGGATCGATGATTAGCTGAAGGCTGATCTAGAATGGGCCAAGCTGGAGCCAGTGAGACAACTTGGGTCTGTACCATGTAGTTTATTTATTTATTTATTTATTTGAGACAGAGTTTCGCTCTTGTTACCCAGGCTGGAGTGCAGTGGCACAATACCGGCTCACTGCAACCTCTGCCTCCTGGGTTCAAGTGATTCCCCTGCCTCAGCCTTCTGAGTAGCTGGGATTACAGGTACCTGCCACCACACCCAGCTAAGTTTTTGTTATTTTTAGTAGAGACAAGGTTTCACCATGTTGGCCAGGCTGGTCTCAAACTCCTGAGCTCAGGTGATCCGCCTGCCTCAGCCTCCCAAAGTGCTGGGATTACAGGCATGGAGCCCGGCCTTTTGTTGTTGTTTTTTTCTTGTTTTTGAGACAGTCTTGCCCTGTCAACCAGACTGCAGTGCAGTGGACAATCTTGGCTCACTGTAGTCTCTGCCTCCTGGGTTCAAGTGATTCTCGTGCCTCAGCCTCCTGAGTAGCTGGGACTACAGGTGTGCGCCACCATGCCTGGCTAAATTTTGCATTTTTAGCAGAGACGAGGTTTCACCATGTTGACCAGGCTAGTCTCAAACTCTTAGCCATCTCCCTCGGCTTCCCAGAGTGCTGGAATTACAGGCATGAGCCACTGCTCCCGACCTCATTGTAGTTTTGATTTGCATTTCTCTAGTGATTATAGACAAGCACTTTAAAGCCTCTGTTTGTGTCACATTCCCCAACATCCCATTGGCCAAAACAGGTCTCATGGCTGAGTCCTCACTAAGAATGGGATGGCCCCCCGGTGATGTGGGGCATGGATGGTAAGGGGCATGGATGATGGGCAGGTTGGCTGGGCAACTGGGGCTATGTTTGTTACCTACTACAAGTTCATTATTGTCAGTGACTGGCCAAGAGTCTCAACATACCAGAGGTTCTGTATGTGTTTTTTGTTTGTTTGTTTTTGTTTTGAAACAGAGTCTCGCTTTGTCACCCAGCCTGGAGTGCAGTGGCACAATCTCGGCTCACTGCAACCTCCGCCTCCCAGGTTGAAACAATTCTCCCACCATAGCTTCCTGAGTAGCTGGGATTACAATCATGCACCACCACACCTGGCTGATTTTTGTATTTTTAGTAGAAACGGGGTTTTGCCATGTTGGCCAGGCTGGTCTGGAACTCCTGACCTCAGGAGATCTGCCTGTCTTGGACTCCCAAAGTACTGGGATTACAGGTGTGAGGTGCTATGCCCAGCTGCTCTGTATGTGTTACTGCATCTTAAGAACACATATGGTCAGGTGCGGTGGCTCATGCCTGTAATCCCAGCACTTTGGGAGGCCGAGGCGGGCGGATCAAGCAATTCTCCTGCCTCAGACTCCCAAATAGCTGGGACTACAGGTGCACGCCACCACACCCAGCTAATTTTTTGTTTTTGAGACAGAGTTTCCCTCTTGTTGCCCAGGCTAGAGTGCAATGGCGCGATCTCAGCTCACCACAACCTCCACCTCACAGTTTCAAGTGATTTTCCTGCCTCAGCCTCCCTAGTAGCTGGGATTACAGGCATGTGCCACCATGCCCAGCTAATTTTGTATTTTGAGTAGAGGCAGGGTTTCTCCATGTTGGTCAGGCTGGTCTCGAACTCCCGACCTCAGGTGAAACACCCGCCTCAGCCTCCCAAAGTGCTGGGATTACAGGCGTGAGGCACCGCGTCCAGCCACAATTTTTTGTATTTTTAATAGAGATGGGGTTTCACCATGTTGGCCAGGATGGTCTCAATGTCTTGACCTTGTGATCTGCCTGCCTTGGTCTCCCCAAGTGCTGGGGGCATGAGCCTGACCTTTCCTGAGGTCAAGAGTTCCAGACCAGCCTGGCCAACATGGTGGTGAAACCCTGTCTCTACTAAAAATACAAAAATTAGCCGGGCGTGGTGGTGCGTGCCTATAATCCTAGCTACTTGGGAGGCTACCCGAGAGGCGGAGGTTTCAGTCAGCTGAGATCGTGCTATTGCACTCCAGCCTGGGCGACAAAGTGGGATTCCATCTCAAAAAAAAAAAAAAAAAAAAGAACATATACCTGATTAAAAAAAAAAAAAATCCTAATACAGGAGGACTGTCCAAAAAGGGACATTGTTTAGAATTTAAGAAGGGTAGTAACAGCTTGATCTTGCCTTGTACAGGATTGGAGGCTGTTGTCATTGGAGAAGTTCATGAGAATGTTACTCTGCACTGTGGCAACATCTCGGGACCGAGGGGCCTGGTGACCTGGTACCGGAACGACTCGGAGCCTGTCTTCCTTCTCTCGTCCAACTCTAGCCTCCCGCCAGCTGAGCCTCGCTTCTCTCTAGTGGATGCCAGTTCCCTGCACATCAAATCGCTGGGCCTGGGAGATGAGGGGAATTACACCTGCCAGGAGATCCTGAATGTGACTCAGTGGTTCCAAGTGTGGCTGCAGGTGGCCAGTAAGTGGGGCTGGCAGGGACCGGGGCTGGAGAGGTGCTCAGAGCCTTGGAAAGGAGGAGACCATGGTCACGAATGTGGGTTTTGGGTTCCGATGGCCTGGAATTCTTTCTGGGCCCTGCCACTTGCAAGCTGAGGGACCTCTCACACCTCTATTTCCTCACCTGTAAAATGGGGATAAAAATAATGCCTGTGGCTGGGCGCAGTGGCTCATGCCTATAATCCCAGCACTTTGGGAGGCCAAGGCGGGCAGTCATCACTTGAGGTCAGGAGTTCGAGACCAGCCTGGCCAACATGGTGAAACCCCATCTCTGTTAAAAATACAAAAAATGCCTGCCGGGTGCAGTGGCTCATGCCTGTAATCCCAGCACTTTGGGAGGCCGAGGCAGGTGGATCACAAGGTCAAGACATGGAAACCATCCTGGCCAAGATGGTGAAACCCCGTCCCTATTAAAAATACGAAAAATGGCCGGGCGCGGTGGCTCAAGCCTGTAATCCCAGCACTTTGGGAGGCCGAGACGGGCGGATCACGAGGTCAGGAGATCGAGACCATCCTGGCTGACACGGTGAAACCCCGTCTCTACTAAAAAATACAAAAAACTAGCCGGGCGAGGTGGCCGGCGCCTGTAGTCCCAGCTACTCGGGAGGCTGAGGCAGGAGAATGGCGTGAACCCGGGAGGCGGAGCTTGCAGTGAGCTGAGATCTGGCCACTGCACTCCAGCCTGGGCCATAGAGCAAGACTCCGTCTCAAAAAAAAAAAAAAAAAAAAAAAAAAAAA